GTTCGAGTCACGCACGCAGTACGTATTTACTATAATTAGACATAGTCTTTACCTTGCCGTTTAATCGGTGTTATTTGCTTACTTTGTCTCAACTAGGACTGTTTTCAACTGGGACTGGGACTGTGTGGTCTCAACTGGGACTGTTTTCAACTGGGACTGTGTGGTCTCAACTGGGACTATTTTCAACCGAGACTGGGACTGGCATATCTTTTGTTTAAGTGACTGCAAAGAATTCAAATGTGACATTGTATAGAAAAACTGCCGTTACTGGCTATTGGTTATGTAAATGACAATTATTGTATATATAGGAATTGTTCCTTTTTTGGTCAGCATTTTTGCTGCCCAGAAACAGTTATTGTAACCGGACAATTCATACTGTGGAACATGAATCCAACATTTAATTACGTGACAGGCTTTTTTTACCTTGCCCGTACCTGTATCTGGTTCTGTATCTTAGAAATGCCTGGATCAATCACAATCAAACTTCACACATACATCATACATGATATTATACATATGCACGTCAATTTGTTTCACGATCTGATTGAAGATGGCCGAATGGTGGCCATTTTGTGCTAAAAATCATCAAAATCAACCATTTCCTGGCTGTTTACAGATGGATTTTGTACATACAGGGACTTATAATTTGGTCCCTGTGCGTCTGTCCGTCCGTGCGTCTGTCCGGAGTCATATCTTAGAATCCCTTGGACTGATTCTGTTCATTCTTTGCATGTGCCTAGTACTTAATGTGGGACATATGCACATGCAGTCGTTTAGCAATTTGATTCAAAATGGCCAACTGGCAGCCATCTTGTTTTTTGAAAATGTTGTATTTTGACATGCTTTGTCAGTTTTCATTCAAACTTGGTTACATAGATTAGACATTTTAGAATACATGTCCATGGGTACATAGATTATACATGTCCATGGGTACATAGATTATACATGTTAGGATACATGTCCATGACGATATATTTTGCAATAGGATCAAAGATGGTCGACTGGCAGGCATCTTGTTTTTGTTTTTTTAAGGGTTATCTTGGACGTGCTCTGTCAGTTTTCATTAAAATTTGGCACATACATGTACATGTACTTTATACATGTTAGGATGCATGTCTATGACAATTTGTTTCAAAATCTGGTCAAGGATGGCCGATTGACAGCCATCTGACTTTTTGGCCTTCCTACTATATTTCCACAATTTATGTACCATTTTCATTCGTATTTGGCACATACATCTTACATATCAGTGTGTTTCATAATCAGATCAAAGATGGCCGAATAACAGCTGTTTTTATTTTTGGCCATATTACTACTACACAGAACACGTGTTTTGATGTGAATAAACAATCTGTTGTATACGCCACCTGGAACTCAAGTTTGAAGGACACGCTCGCGGCAACCCCTCTGCTTTAATATGACGAGCACAAAGAGAACTTTCAAAAATTTTACGGGGCTGTGCCATTTTCAATGACTTGTGTTTTACGATCTGATTCAAGATGGCCGAATGGCGGCCATTTTTGTGCTAAAAAATCATAAAAATCAAGCATTTCTCGGCTGTTTACAGATGGATTTTGTACAAACTTGATATATACATTAGATATTATGGGACCTTAATGCAAATAATTTTGTTTTCCAGATAACATGACTGGTGGCCATTTTGTTTTAATGAATGGGCTTCTTGACCTGTATCTCCGATTTGTTTTGACTGATTATGTTCAAATTTTAAATATTCATTATACATCATGTCATAGATAGACACATATATTGGTTTTACGATCTGATTCAAGATGGCCGAATGGCGGCCATTTTTGTGCTAAAAAATCATAAAAATCAAGCATTTCCCGGCTGTTTACAGATGGATTTTTTTCAAACTTGATATATACATTAGATATTATGGGACCTTGATGCAAATAATTTTGTTTTCCAGATAACTAACTGGCGGCCATTTTGTTTTAATGAATGGGCTTCTAGACCCGTATCTCCGATTTGTTTTGACTGATTATGTTCAAATTTTAAATATTCATTATACATCATGTCATAGATAGACACATATATTGGTTTGATGATCCTATTCAAAATGGCCGAATGGTGGTCATTTTTGTGCTAAAAAAATTATCAAATATCAAGCATTTATGGATGGATTTTGTTCAAACTTGGTACATACATTAGACATTACGGGTTCCTGATGCACGTCATTTTATTTTTCAGATTGGATTCAAAATGGCTGTCTGGTGGCCATTTTGTTTTAATGAATGGGCTTCTAGACCCGTATTTCCAACTTGTTTTGACTGATTATGTTCAAATTTTAAATATTCATTATACATAATGTCATAGATAGACAGATATATTGTTTTGACGATCCTTTTCAAAGTGGCCAAATGGTGGCTATTTCTGTGTTTAAAAAAATCCTCAAATATCAAGCATTTCTTGCATTTATGGATGGATTTTGTTCATACTTATAACATACATTAGACATTACAGGTTCCTGATGCACGTCATTTTATTTTTCAGATTGGATTCAAAATGGCTGACTGGTGGCCATTTTGTTTTAATGATTGGGCTTCTAGAGCCATATCTCTTAAATGCTTCGACTGATTATATTCAAATTTTATATGTTTGTTATACATCATGTTATATATATGTACATGTATTCAAAATGGCTGATTTTGAATGCTGTTCTAGAGCAATATCTCTCAATATGGACAAGTACTTGTTTGATGATCAGACACAAATGTCAATCATTTTAATGTTAAAAAAAATCATATTCCTGACATGGTTATATTCCAGCTATATTACTATAAACAAAACTATATATCTTAAATTTGATACCTAACTGGGACTGTGCCATACATGGCTTGTTTTAATTAAAATACTTATTTTGTTCTCAGATATATAAACTATGATGATATTCACATTATGGGCATTGCTGTAGCAAGCGTTTTGCAGGCACCTAAACATTTTGCATTTATTTTCAGATTAAAATGTGGTATGACAATAGTTCACAGCAATTTGTGGTGACAATACTAAGTGCTAACAATCTTCCATTAAAAGAAACTGGGGAAAGAAGAAACCCATATGTAAAACTCTATGTTCTGCCAGATAGAAGGTAAGTTCTTAAGTTTTATCAAAGCCACACAAAAGTTTCTTGGTCATTGGCAGTGTTTTGTGTCCATATCTCAAATCAAAACTTTTATAGTAGACAGAATCTGGTTTCTGGGAAAACCATATTTTTTTCCTCACTTACTATCATTTCAGTCATTCTTTGAACGATTATGTTTAACTAAATATTGCTACACTACAGCAAGTTATTATCAACATTGTTGGTAAATGTACAGCAATTGCTTCCAATGTTGTTGAAGTTGTTTTGCTACAATAAAGTTTGTTTTGATATATTCGCGATGCACCCAGACTTCAAGTCGTCGCTCCACTGTCCAATCACGCACTCGTTGACTGTGACTGTCACATTCACAGTCAGCTGGTGCATACATGCTAAAAAAATAAATACGATATTTACTATATGGGGGCCGCCATCTTGAATGCAGCATTAAACTAAATAAGAGACAAGTTGTGAAACGGGTTTTTCAAATTCCTACAAATCAGGGCAAAAATACCAATTAGGTGTTCGTATGCAAGGAATTTTTCCACACAAAAACTGTTGCCTTAATATAACCCCAACAGATCAA